CTTCATGGACAATATGCAGCTGTTGAAAATTCGAAACGTCTTCAAATTGGTTTTTTACCCATGCCGCATCCCAGCAGTGGGACGCAATGTCCCACGCGGCAAAAAAGGTGCGTCCCAGCAGTGGGACGCAATGTCGCCAACGTGTTAAAGCGCCCTGTCAGGCCATGATAACCCGGACGCCCACCGCGCTCGCCGCCCACAAATGTCCGACAGAAGCTCGTATCACTTCATTTGCAAAGACCAGTATGGGGCAAAGGGATCGATATGAAGCGGCTGCGGTGCTGCATGGATATATGAGTACTTACATGCAGCCGTATCTACCGTAACGGTTATTGACACCAACGGGAAACTCGTCCGAAAATGCTTTCTGAGTCGTGCAGAACAAAGGTCTTCTCTTGCAGATTTTTGTCCGTTTCTCTTCAGTTTTCGCCATTTTCCCCTCGAGTATCTAACTATCGTGCCTTATGCCTTTGATGAAGAGTAACGAAATTTTACAGAGGAGAAAATTCTGATGGTGCGTCTTCGTCTGCGTCTGCTCCACAGTTCAAGTTGGCTGATGGTGAGGATCAGGATGGCTTCTACAAACGAATCAGCCGGGAATTGATGAACTCACTTCCCAATCACTATTTTGCATAACAAATCACTTACCTGCATTCCGTTCATGCCCATGTTGCCATCATCCAGGCGGGTACCGAATCGTTCTCATATTTGGGTCGATTGATGCTTTTAGTATAACTGTTGACTAGAAAGGTCTTGACAAAATTTACTTCGAACTTTTTAATTGTTCAGGTGCTGCGTGCATGAATCCTCAAATGTATGTACATATATAGTTTTATGTTTTGACGAGTAATACTAGCAATCACCTACAATTATTAACGGTTGATAGTTTTGCGTCTTATATTGTTATCGTTGCCCTGCTAAGGCAGTACCAAGACTTTGTTATCGCCCTTGATCAGTGAAGCAACCAGAAATTTGTGACCCATTTTTTAGCACACTAGTTTGCTATAAGTGCCTTGTAATTCGCTTTAATCCCGCAATTATAAAGTAAGACAAGTGGAATGCGTGGTATGTCTTTCTTATTTCACAAGTCGCTTATCTGCTTCAACAATTGATGCAGAAGGGCTGGCTCCACGCTACCGAGTCCCCCGACATGCCCCAGGATTGGCAGCGAACAAGCCTCTATTCAAAGATCTTTGCAAATCTCAATGAAAGCTGAAGGCACATTTTGGGGTTGTAAATCGTGGGTGGTGAGGATCATATATGAAAGTGAAGGTGCTGAGTATTTTTGAGCGCTGAAAAAAATAATGGCGAAAACTCTAAATGAGACCCCATTCAGTTTCAACGAGAGCGTGTGCGAACGAAAGATCAAGTGAACAAGGTGTAAGAGAGCACGCAGTATACCGTCTTATGCACGCGGGCAGGGTCACCCTACTGGCGTACATTTCGCTCCTTGCGCACTTTCGAGGTACTTCCACTGCTCATTCCGCACTTGACTATGTAGACTCTAGTTCGCTGCGGAAGTTGGGCGTGTCAGGCAGCAGGAGTGCGTCACAACGTCAAAGCCGTTCTCTGCCTTCTTGCTGAAGCGCCATGCGGCAGAAAATGGTAGAAAACGAGTAATACGAACGATAGATACAGTCTTACTGCTTGCTCGCTTTAACAAAATGTCGTGGGAAAACGGGTTTGGCACCGCGCCACACTCATCCCGCCGGAAACGCCCAACCGTCCAGAGCGAACTACACTATGCAACAAACCATTACGAAAAGGGCTCAACGACCTGGAGGAACTCGGTCGTAGGTTAAATAGGCCAATCAGCACTCCAATCACCTCCAGAGGTGATTGGGTTTCTGTGGTGGAAAATGTTGATAAGCGTTGCTTCTTCTCGATGGCATCAGGGCTACAGGTAGTTCGCTGCGGACACTGGGGCTGTTAAGGAAGACTAGGTTTGGCTCGGCAGCATCTCGTTCTCCGCCAGTTGTTGTCTCTCTCCGGCTCCAGCAGTGGTGGAAACGGACTAGCGCCCCTAACACGCCTCATCATTCGCAGCGAACAAGGCTGTTTTCCATTTTCCTCAGTCCACTTTTCCTGGCGAGCACATCTATTTGAGAATTATTATGCTTGGTGCGACCGTGAGATGTTTGAACGTTAGACAACGCTCATTTCCTGCTCAAAGGTTGTGAATTGAAAACAGTGTGATTTAACCGCGGAAGTGACAGCGTTTCGTACTTGCTCTCGTTGCGTAATTGGCAGTGTCTGGTGACCTGCGTTGGTTGCCTTGGATTGAGGCAGCAGTGCCAGATTGCTAATCCAATATGTGTGATGTGATGGAAGCGTGTTATAATGGAAGCCTCACCACACAGGGTGGAGGGGGGGGGCTATAATCACACATCAGTAAAGTTCACGCAGCCCAGATGGAAGACATGGATACGAGCACCACGGCGGAAGACATCCAACATGTTCCTCGATAAGCCGGAGCGGGCCCTCTTCCACCACCATCTTCTTCTTCTTCCTTAACGTTTGTCCCGCTCAGCGACAGGGTTCGCTCTTCTAATGTGATGACGCCACTTTTCCCTATCAAATGCCTGATCGGAATTTCAGCTTTTTCAAGTCTGTATGCAGCGTATCAAGCCAGCCTCTGTCTGGACGTCCCTTGCGGCGCTTTCCGTCCAAGGCACAATCGTTACTGGCGGAATCCCAAGTAGGGGGGGGTCGTATTTGGTCGCCAGTAGGGGGTCGCATTTGGGCTGAGAAAAAATTTATTTTGATAGTTGATTTTTCTCGCTTCATGGACGTTGTAAAGGGAGGGGGGGGGTCGTATTTGATCATTTTTGGGAGGGGGGGGGGTCGTATTTACGTTTTGGCGTTGTGGGAGTGGCGGTTGACTTTTGGTGATTTTCCTGTTTCACGTACTATATGCCCCCCCGCTCGACAGCAAAATTTTTGGTAAAAAGTACTATATGCCCTCACCCCTCTCGACGCTGGCTGGGGGGTCGTACCAACTCCCAAAAAAGGGAGGGGTCGTACGGGCTCGACCATAATCCCCAACTAATGCTGTGCCCTGTTTTCGTCTACCTTAATCTGAAGGTCAGTCCTACAGACGGTGTCAGCCTTTGCGCGAAGTACATGGCCGTACCATCGCGCGTTTCTCGCATTTTGTCAGCTATAGGAGCTATGCCGAACTTCTTGCGTATTACTTCGTTACAAATGCGGTCCAAACGCGTGACACCCGCAGTCCAACGCAACATTCTCGTCTCCATCACACTTAGACGGGCTTCGACTTCTTTGGTAGCGGGCCAGCACTCGGCGCCATATAGGGCGACTGGTCGAACGACACTTCTGTAGATCTTCGACTTTAGCCGTTCTGGCATCTTCCTGTCGCAGAGGATCCCCGACATGCATCGCCATTTTGCCCACGCTGCACTCACCCGTGTGCTCACTTCCGCTTTGAGATCTCCAGCGGACGTAATTGCTGACTCAGTGCCATCGATATTGATGGAGCCCGTCTCGGCTGGGTCGGTTGTCAGGTACTCGGTCTTATTCACGTTTAACCTGAGCCCAAACTTTGCCAGGCGATCAGCCCAAGCTTGCACTTGCTCCAGCGTGCTTGTCTTCACATGCAAGCATCACATCATCAGCGTAAAGGAGCGTCCAAGGAACTTCCTTCTGAAGGTCTCGTGTGATGGCATCCATGACGACAACAAAAAGGAGTGGGGAGAGAGCGGAGCCTTGGTGTACCCCAACGGTGATGGGAAACTCCATCGAGGTGCCTGCAAGAGTCCGCACTTGGCTCTCTGGCTTCGAATAAAGGATGCGGACCCACTCGATTAGCTCTTCAGGGACACCGTGTTGTCGCAAGGCGTACCATATAACGTCTCGCCCCGCGATAAAAGGCCTTTTCTAGATCTAGAAATGCTACATGCACAGGCTTTTGCTTCTCACGATGTTTCTAAGCAAAAGGCGAGCAGCGTGAATGGCGTCGATGGTGCTACAGCCAGTTACGAAGCCACACTGGTTGGCAGAGAGCTGGACGATGTCACGAATACGGCCATCAACAATTCGCTCAAAGATTTTCATAGTGTGCGAAGAATCGGACGGTAGTTCGAGCAATCTGCCGGACTTTCCTTCTTCTCCCAAGTCGGAACCGTCCTGTTTCGCATGCAGTCCTTGGGCATCTTCTTCTCTGCAATGATCTGGTTGAAAAGCTTTGTCAACCATTCTGCGGAGTACCAGTGCTGTGACTTCCATAAGTCCGCTGCTAAGTCGTCGGGGCCTGTAGCTTTACCAGCCTTCATCTTCTTCAGAGCCGCTTCTGTCTCCTCAACGGAAATCTTCCGAGGGGGCCGTATATTGGTGCTGCAGAGGGGATAACCGGATTGGTGAATTCTTCTGTCGAGATTTTCTCGAAAGTCGTGCTATCGCTGCAATACCCACTTTCGGTTCATCAGAAGATGGCCATTCTCGTCATTTATGCCAAAAACTTTTCTATGTCTTCGGTTTGGCGGTGACGAGATTTGGCAAGTCGGTACAAGTGCCGCTCACCGTCGCGCGTCTCAAGTTTCTTGCTGACATCGTCAAAATGAGCGGCCTTCACTACGGCGACCGCCTTCTTTGCCGCAGTCCTCGCTTCCTGGTACTTTCGCCAGTTGTCAGCCGTCTTGTTCCCAAGAAACACGTGATAAAGTTCCTTCTTCGCTCGAACCTTCGCCTGGACGTCGTCCGTCCAAAGCCAAGGCTGCTTGTCAATCCTACGCCGCCCAGGCTTGGTCATGCCGAGTTCTGAACGAGCGGCCAAATTATCGATTCAACGGCTTTGTTCCAGGTTTCTTCGACAGTCGTGATCTCAGGTAATCGGATGCGAGAAATCACGGCTTCCTCCCGCTCTTTCAGTCGCCACCACTTGATCCTCTCGAGGGCACACCGCTCAGTGTTGTTTCGATCTGGGTGCTGTAAATTTCAGCGTGCAGATCAGCGGGCGGTGTTGGGGGCAACTGTCTCGTACGGCACGACCTTAGCGTCTGTGACGAGTCCTTGATCGCCATGCCTGATAAGAACAAAGTCTATTTGTGTTTTGGAACTCCCGCTGTAGAAGGTGATGAGATGGGAGTCGCGTTTACGAAACTTTGTATTCAGAATGACGAGATTATGCATATCTGCATATTCAAGGACTCGCTCACCATCGGCGTTCCTTGATCCGTAGCCGAATCCACCGTGACAAGCATAGCCGTCTTTAGCAGCGCCCACGTGTCCATTTAGGTCGCAACAATGATACCGTCTCCTGGTGGTACTTCAGCCGTCTTCTCATTCAACAGAGCCCAGAAGTCGTCCTTGGATTGCTCGGAGCATCCAGTTTACACGAGAAGAAGTGGTATAGACGTTGTTCAACAGCGACAACAATCTTCATTAAACGGTCGCCAAAACGAACAACACTGGTAATCGAGTCACGGAATCGGTGAGAAACGATTACAGCTACACCATTTTTAGTTCTCGGTCCACCAGAAGAACGGCTTTGAAGCCACGACCAAATATCTCTCGACTGACAACCAGACCATCGTGTCTCCTGCACTGCGCAGAGATCGATTTTTCTGCGCTCCAGTGCTTCTGCCAACTCGAATGAGCGCCCTGTTAAGGTGCCAACGTTCCAAACGTTGCCAGACTTTCGGACTAGCCTGGTTCCCCCGATGCCGTCCTTGCATCAGGGACCCTCGCATACTTTCCACACTCGCCGGGCCATACGAGTGCGCGTCGGCTCCCGCGGACGCCGTAGCATTATCTCGTGAATCATGTGGCATATTCAAACATTGTGATGTGACATGGGGTGTTCGTAGGTCGGCCCGTCACGAAGGCCTGTCACCTGCCTCGAGTTTGTCCGTGTTCTGCAACCCGCAAAAGCGGGCAGTACCCGGTGGCACCACTTGGAGGAACGGACTTCACCACCTCTTCCACCACCTTCATGTAAACCAAAGTATGAAATCATTACCAATTCCAGCCGAAATGAGAAAGGCCTATGGAATTCACGTCACCTCCAAACAGCTGCGAAACTTCTTGTATGGAGTCCCATGGACAGCTACCTGGAGCCGGCACTCTTGATCTGAGAAGACCTCCAACATCGAGCAGCTCCGGCAACGTCGCTATGTCCAGGGTATCATGTTGTCTGCAGTCGTCAAGGAGCGGGTTGATGGTATGACCGGGAGTTTCTGGAATACCTTACCTTCATGCTTCTTCCTTTTACTGTAGCAGAGACTCATTAAGAGCCCGGACCCCTTCACACAGAATTAGCACTACCAAAGCTCTTGTTCCTCACACTCTATCTACCTCAACTGAGAAAAAAAACTCATTTTGAAGGCAGTTCCTGCGATCGAGTGACCGCAAAGAACCTCTGTACTTTTGGCACTCGGGCACGCACTCGCACAGGGAGTACCACTTCCATCACTTGAAAGGGATGCCACAGGCGCGTGAATGCTGAATCCTGTACTCTGTTTGCTCTGCGAGATATCGACTTATGCGCGGATTACATATCTGCATTGTGTTGCTTGTAGCGACGTAGGAGGATTTCATACTCTCCGGAGAAAATCTTACTTTCTCGATTCTTTTGCGAGCTCAGAGTTGTCCTTCTTTCGTTGAATACCTTTTCGAAAGCAATATTTTAGAAGCTGTCCACTTCACGAGACAAGGTGCGTTTGGACGCTGCTCAGCGATGCAGTCGATGTGGAAAAGCTTGTCCTGCATTGCTTACCGTAGTCCTAATTTCATGGACAGAGTTTTCGAAAGCTATGTCCTGCCTCATTCCTTTTTGCTTTTCGTTTTTCCTTTGATTTTTGATGAAATTCAGTAGTAGAAGGAGCTGAGAAACGATTTATGGTTCATGGAGTTGCAAAGAGGCCACAGGGTGTCAAGTCGCCGGCAAATCCGAAGAACTCGTACACTGCACATCCCAGCAATAAAGTGGGCGTGGCTACGCGCTTTACTCGAACATGACGTAGGATGCGTTGTTCGCGATATATTTCCATTTGATACAAGTGCTATCGGTAGTAGACAATCATGGTTGCAGCTGTTCTGGAACTTCGATATCCATCAGAAGACCACGTTTAAAGGCACGTTCCGCGATAAACTAAGGCTAGGTTCTCATAACCGTGCACGACGGTCAAGCAGGCAACGTCAGAGGCTATGCTGCTTTTAAAAGTTGAAAAACAGCAAGCAAAACGCAGGCGCTCAGGTTTTAGGCCCATTGGCGCCCGATAGGCCCATGCCGGCCTCCAGTGACCGTGTCGTTGTGAGACTGCCATTGCGCTCTCTCGCCCGTCGTTTTCTGGCCTCTCTCGTCTCTTATCAGTGTATCGCCGCCTTTCGCAATTCACAATTGATCTTGACCACCTTACGCTCGTCCGGTGATCATGATCAATTGCAATAAAGAGGGTCTTATTCCGGGCGCTTTTTCGTGCTTCCTTCTCCTTCAATAAGTCAACAAACACACGGCAGTTCTATTTTTGAACCGTATTACCTATGAGCTGTGGTCGCGGGAATTGCCTTTAAATGAAGTACGTAGTCATGGACTCTCCATCTCCGGGATATGGAGTATACACTGGGTCTGTGTGACTGTCAGGTAGGAGTTCCATTTGAAATGTTCTCAATGTTTTTTGCTTCTTTCTCAGCTTCAAGGGTTCCAGAACCTGCGAGGAATTCTTGACTTCAAAATCAATATTTAATCATAAATCAAATATATAACATGTACAATGTTCTCACGTTATTACGACCAAATCCGATACGTATTTTGAGCATTCAAAGTATCAAACAATCATAAGGTTCCTAGAAATAAAAAAATCAAGTGACTTTTCATGAAGTGATCTCCTCCATAATGATTCGCAGGGTCATGTCGAATTAACGAGCAATAACCGATATGATTAATGAAGAGTAAGCATAAAATGAACAAATCTGAGAGAATCCGGAGACGAGGACAGAAGGGATGCTAGTGATGTGGTGATCTACGCGGCTCTACGAACGAAGAGATTACTAGGCGGAGGCGTTTACACAATGAAAACAATGGATTCACATGGAATTTTGTTATTGCTTATTGACTAATGATGATTGAAGGTGCACCTGCTCATCTAACTCGTCTAATGCAGCACTTCGACGAAGCGTCGTTGCACCGAGAGCCTGAAAAGAAGTGTAAAATTAAAAATGAACCCATATGTAGTCATGATTCTTGTGAGCAAAAGGGGGTGTGGAGGGTGTGAATTATCGCTGCTAAAACTGCCCCTATCTCCAATGGTGGCGGACTCAGGACTCAGTGGAAGGCCGCCCATGCAGCGCTTCAGTCCTCGTCGCTGAACGCACTTTGCGCCGCGCACTTCACCAGCATTCAGAATCGTAGGGCATTTTGAGCGCAGTTTGGCCTACACAAACTGCTAGGGCATGCGATGTAGGAGTCAGTGTTCTCTTTTATCAAGCAAATCCGGCACCGAGTAGTAGCGTAGGGTCGGAAGGCCTTTCTGGGCCGATCCAAATGTGAGCCGATCCGAGCGCTGTGCTTGTGGTATGCGGGGACGGGCTGCCACTATAGCACCTCTCCCGATGTGTGCTTTTATTAACATCTTTTTGATTCGCATCATCGTGACATTGCGTCATTGGACACGAATCATCTACTTTCTCTTACACTTGTTAGATTTCTATGAGACACATGAAGCTGGACCCCAATATGCCGCAGAGGCTGCCGCCAGGATCGAGTTTCTTCTGCCCAAGCCAATCTTTCGCTGCTCCAGATGGGCCGTTCGACAAGCGACAATCTTGTCATTTAGCCAAAAGACACAAGCGGGACAATGCGTATGGACCGATTCACTTCAGAATGCTTCAAGTCTTGATTTGGAAAAGTTACGTGGCTTATTCCGAAGATGGTAATCATACTCGCCCTCCCCCTCCCATTATTATGCGCGTGACAAGACGTTCTACTAACGTCGATAAAAGCGTACGAGTATAAAGTGTTCGCAATACCCTCTCTGGTGGTCGAAAGTAGCGTGGCCGTGAGAGCGACGCGAGACACGCTTGCTGTTCTGTTGTCAAATCCTAAATTGTCTCCACACCCCGCCCGTTCGCCTACCCTGTCTGATCTTCTACCTGTTCAGTATCGGTTGATTGGTATTATTCTCACTTGGAAGGACAAGGGCACTGGATAAAACACTACAACGGTTAGCCTCTGCAATTCATAGACTAGACTAGATCGCAGTCAAAACATCGCTATGATCCAGAGTGGAAGCAGGTTGGATGGCGCATATTAGACAGGGATTGAATGTCTGCCAACGAAGGCTTGAACCCTTCATTATGCTCTTAGGTTTTCACAGGTTTTTCGGTACATAATCATGCAACTATGGAACCAGTGGCCTTATGAATACTTGTCTCATTCACTACGAAGAGCTACAGCTTATTTCATACAGTGCACATCCCGGGGATGGAAAGGGCGTGGCTGCATGCTTCTACGAATGTGGCATATAATGCGTTACATTCCCCTTCAAAAAACTTCCGTCTTGCCTTGTGCTGGACAAAAGCTTGATGACAGTTGTTCAAAACGAGAACATACCAGTAAAAATGCAGCCACCACCGCGCTCAAACAAAGTACGCAGCCACGCCCTATCCTAGCCATGAAGCGTATACGCTATGCCCTTTAGCCAGCTATCCACAAAAAGGCTTTCAGTTTTTCGATTTAGAGAACACTTGGTTCTGCTGTAGTCGGAGCTGGTCATTCTGTAGTCGATTCTATGCAGCGTACTTACTTGGCTGGTAGAGCCACTCGACCTCCTTGCCTCCTGATACGTAGACGAATCACCTCCGTCTTCATAGAGGTTTGGTGAGACTCCGACGGCTATTTCGTGGACCTGGAAAAGTTGCGATTCACCCATCCGGTGGATGCTTCGTTGGTGCTTAATATAGGAGAGACCCACCTTTGATTCAACTGGAGTGTTGAATGCCATCTGGGAAACACCGAGAGCAATGGCTTTCGGTTGCCTTACAAGGACACCGTGGATGACGGGATGGCTTGAGATTCTGAAAATTAACATTCATAAAAAGGAAAAATTGAAATTGAAACCCTGCCAAGCTTCTGTGTAAAAGCTTCTGTGTGTCTTTGTCTGACGTTCACAGTGCGTATTGGAGGAAAAAAGGGGCGCTCCAATGACGACTGCGTACCCCATGCCGACAGTTCGCTCCTACATATACAATCATTATCACCGAAGTCGGCCGTGGCGTGTCGGCGGGGGGGGGGGGGTTCGGGACGCTGTGCTGACACGAAGCGATTGACGTTAGTAATGTCTATACGTATCTGGATCTCCTCCTTATGGATTATCACTGCCTCAGTTGCGAGCGCGTCGCCGCGGTCGCAAATGCACTCTTTTTGCCATCAGATATGGACTGCTCCCTCAAACTGGAAATGCGACAAAGATGTTGAATTTGTGCATAGTCCTTGTATTGCAAATAGCGTGGAGAGTTCGAGCGCTTGACAGGGAAGCTATCGATTTGAGCTTTTCTGGTTGTGAGCTTTTCCCATTGTAGTCACGTTTCCGCCTTGGGGGCCTGCTTTGCTCATTTTGGTTTGTATTGGTTCGTATCCACATTTTTTTGCTATACAAAAGTATCCACTAGGCGCTAATTGTGAGTGATAAGCAGGGTCCTTGACGCCTATTGGGATTCTATTTCGGAGACAAGCCTTGAGGACAACGTGCTGTCGATTCAGAATCCGGTCTGAACTTCCATCATCCTTCTGTCATGTTACAGTACTATAGTGATGGCTTGATTCACCTTCGGAAGTGCAGTTGTTAGCCCATCAGTGCACTAAGCTGGTGACAACCTTGATATCTTAGCCCAATCCGTATTGTCCATGTCTGTGTTTGGAACATTTCTGTGTG